GTATCATCAGATCTCTGAGAGGTCATGTCATCATCGTCAGGAAATAGCTGAGTCATTTGTTCCCAGTAGGCTTTTTGAAGACGAATTTTAATCTGCTCTGGAGTTTCATGAGGATATCGTTGTTTGAATGATTTTTGAAGATTTTTTAAAGAAAATTCAGTAGTAGGAGGTTGCCTTTGATTTTTGATAAGGTTATTTTGGATGACCTTATCAATTTGTTTTCGTTTATCTTCAATAATGATGGCAGACCACCATTTGATAGAAAAGTTCCTCATGAGACATTTAATATTTAATGAGGCATATTGATTAAATTCTAGATTCCATGACCAGATCCAGGGAATTTGGGCTTGAGTAAAAAAGAAGAATTCACTCATGCCATCTATAAAATCTTCAGTTTTGATAACTCGAAGATGAGGGGATGATTCTACCCATAAATTATAACTGGTTTGTAATTCGATTGGTAACATGGGAATAGTTGCCCCTTTATGTTCCCACCATTGGTAAAACCAAGACGGAATAGAATTATTTAAGATTTCTGGATTTAAGATAAACATCCAAGAATGAGAGTGAGTTGGATTTAGTATATAAAAAGCTTTATGCATTGCTTGGATATAAGTCCAATAATTAAAAGAACAAGTTTTGATGTTACCATCTGGTAACGTAATGTCAAATTTTTGGATTTTAAAAGGGGTAATTCCCCAATCTTTGTGATGAATAATGCTAAGGATATTAGCACGACTATAAATGATGTTTCTTTTATCATCATAATGATGCTTTACTTCGATACATTGAAGATGAATAAGAATGGCTTCATATGTTTCTCGATCATATGAAGAATCTTGGGTAAATGGGGAAGTGTTTAAATACTTTTTAAAGATAATCCATGGAGAGGTAATATCTTTGTCTTCAGGATTCAAATGTAATAGATGTTCAACAGTAATTTTGAGAATGGGCTCAAACATTTCTGATGGGTGTTGAGTCTTTTCAAGATTTTCTTTTGCAGAAGTTTTTTCTGCTGGATTGGGCTCATTGTTCATGGGCTCATTGAGCTCTTCGGCTCCATAGAGATAAGTTTTTAAGGGGATCATTTTAGGAGGAGGAATTTCTCCTCGTCCGCGGCCATTTTGGCCACGTCCTCTTCCACGGGGATAACCGCGGAGAGTTGGCAACCCTCGTCCTCTATTAGGGACTGGTGGTATGGAGCGCCCTTTAGGGGTGCGCCACCCTTCATTTTCCATTAGAAGTAGGTGTACCTGTAAGATATTCACGTGTTAGAAAATCAGGTAAAGAATTATCTTTTCCTTTAATATATTCAATTGAAAAATCAAAAATAGCAAGTTGAGCTTGCCAAGTGGCAAATATTTGTTTAGAGGCAAGATTTTGAACATCTTTTTGTAGAATAAACTTAGCAGATGAACAATCTATTCAGAGTTTAGAGGTAGTATTGAGTAAATCATCTTGAAATTTGTTAATGGATTTTACTATAGCTAACATTTCCTTTTTAATGGTAGAGTAATTTTTTTGAGTAGGCTTCCATAATCCTGAAGTAAAATGAACTAATTCTTCTTTGTTAGTTGATGAATTCTTTTGTTTAAGAATTCCTCCATATCCTATGTCAGATGCATCGGTCTCAACAATTTTTAAATAATCAGGGTTTGCTAAATTAATACAAGGTAAATTTTTAACATGATGTTTAATGATTTGTACTGCTTTAGTACATGTGTCGTCCCAAGGGGGAGAGTTTTTACGAAGTCTTCTAAATAGGGGTGCAGCATCTTTTACAAGATTTTGATAAAAATCAGAAACATAATTTAAAGCACCAAGAAATCTTTGGAGCTGTTTTTTATCCAGTATTTTGTCAGGAAATTTATCAGCAAATTCAATACTTCTTTGTATAGGAATAATAGTGTCATTTGTAATAGTATGTCCTAGAAATCTAATGGTTGTCTAGAATAATTTTATTTTCGGTTCTGAAATCACTAGGCCATTTGATTTTGCTAGCCAAATAAAAGTTTTAAGATGTTTAAAGTGTTCATCAATATTTTTAGAGAAGATTAATACATCGTCTATGTAGACTATGATATATTTATTATATGCATTGAATATTTCATTCATGTTTTTATTCAAAAGGATGACTAGTGTTTGTTTCTTTCTTCACTAAACTATTTCTTACACCACTGTCTCTATTAACTAGGATGAACTATTAGCTTACCAACTGAGTCTTAAATAGATGGCATCCTCATCATCTTCATCATCAATCCTTAATAAAGGAAAAGTTCCTTCTTTCCGTGATGTTAAAAACGCAGAATTAATTGAGTACCCTCTCAATGAAGAAGACCTTAATCAATGGTCTTTACCTAAGGTTGATAAAACCTTAATCTATCAAATCGGAACCTTTGATTTCAAAGGTAAAACTACCATTAAAACGGTAGAACAATCTATCACAATCGATTCTACAGAGAAAACTATTTCTCTATTATCTTATGAAGATCTACGATCTTATATGCAAGATTACAAATATATACATATTGGTTTAATTCAAATAGCCTTTAAGCCTCTAACTTTAAGAGGACTTAATGCATCAATCTTATCTTGTTTAAGAGATGGTCGCTGTCTTAATTGGGCATAATCCCTTATGGGAGTTATGGAAACCAGTCTTTCTCATGAACCGGTTTATTTTAATACCTTTCCAAATCTTAGTTTATCCTTAACTGATATACATTTATTTGAAGCAATCAAATTGCATCTTCAACTACATGGATATAATTTTCTTCCTTGATCTAAAATAATAGCATTAATCTATAGAATCCATTTTAAGGTTATGAATACCTTAAGTCCAAAGGTTAAAAAGATAGTTCAGCCAAACAGCAGAACTACTTTAATCAAAACAAATCTATTAGCCTCAAATATAGCTACTAATAGGGTGATTAAATGGAATGAAATAACATTCCCAGACCAATGGTTATTACCTCAAGTAATTACACCTAAACCTATTGTCAATCAAGACATAGATCAAATAATTCAATCATCTGATGGAGATGTAGAAGTAAGATTTAATCCATGAAGATCTATAAATCTTCCTCGAATTTCTATTCCTTCAACATCAGGAGATGATATTAAAACATCAAATTCAGATGAAACCGATCTAACCTCTAGTGCGGGATTAACTCTTAATCGAAATAGAATATTTCATCCAGTCAGGGAAAATCATGATTTTAAATCCCCGACTCCTTCTGAAATGCAATTTTAATGATCTACGGATTAAATACAGCTCTTAGAGAGACGGTTATCCATCATTATATGTTAGACAAATTTAAACCATTCCGGATCTGATATAGAAACATATTCTCAGAAGAAGAACGAATAAAATTCTCTGATCAATATTTTGATGAACTTGAACATCTAAATCAAAATGGAAAAGCCACTATACCATTCGTATATTGGTTTGTAACTAATATAACTTCTAATATTAGAATGATTCAAGGACAATCCTCAAAATCAGATATTATAATGAGTCAATTTGGAAATATTCCATCTGATCAAAATGCTATAAGAGAATTCGCAATTATTATCAAGCAACTTAATTTCACCAATCAAACAATACAGACTATCACTTCATATTTAGACAGTATTAATAAAAAATTAGATCTATTACAAGATAAAATAGAACAATTTAAAGATATTGATAAAAAATCAAATCTAATTAAACCGATAGAGCCAACAAAAATTGAAACCTCAAGTTCTGGGATGATTATTGCAAAACCAGTTATCAAACTTCCACCACAGATAAAAATAAAATTTGACGAAGATCTAAATATGTCTGAAGTAATAAAACAAATTAAATCCCAAAAAATAACTACTTTAGACGAAATCTCCTCAGAGAATGAGGCTTTAGATAGCTCTTCCAGTGAATATGATATTGATCAATTAGAAGATCAATTTAAATCAACAAATTTAAATCCTCCATTATCCTTAAATCGAATAAAATACCCTAAAAAATCTTTAAGTAAATATTATTATCAAAGACCATCCCCTAATGATCTTCTATATGAAGAAGAATTAAATGAACAAATTTCATATGATCCTAGTCTGGAATAATTTTGTTTTGGGTTCGGAAATTACAAGGCCATTCATCTTTGCTAGCCAAATAAAGGTTTTAAGATGTTTGAAATGTTCATCAATAGTTTTGGAAAAGATCAATCGGATC